AACCTGGGACAGATATGTTTTTAAAATCAGGCTTTTCTCATTGCACTGAGAGAGGAGACTTTGGTTAACTGTTTTCAAAACTTATTCTTGTTTAAGTTTTGTTTGCCCTCAGGCCACGGAACAGCAAGACCTCAATAAAATAGCCAGAAGCATGTATTGCCTCCCAAACAGATCCCAAATGTATATAAAAACAAACTAAGTGAAAGCTTTCAGGATTGGGCTCAAGGGGGACACTGATGGTGATTGTCCTTTTGGATAGCAGATTTATTAGAACAGTTATTAACATAAACAGACAGCAGCATTGTGGTGGTTCTGAGGAGAGCGCAAGCTCATGAGGTCGGGGGGGTGGAAGGGGCTCCATTCTTATAAGTCCTAGAGGTATTAGGCAACGTGGTTGATGAGCAGTCTATATGAGCCTGTAGCCAGGCTGTACTTGATTCCTCTCTGCAAGGAGAGGCCGTCTTATATTCTGGGAAAGGAATGAGTGATTCTAAGGATAAGGAAGGAGTGCATTTTAAGGCATAAGCAATACAGAATGAGCCAAGTGAGAGAAACATCATTTATTTTTTAAAGATGCATTTATTTTTATTTTATGTGTATGTGTGAGTGCATACATATATGTATACCACATTTGTTCAGTGCCCACAAAGGCAAGAAGAGGGAATTGAATCCCCTGGAACCAGAGTCACAGGCAGTTGTGAGTCACCATCTGGGTGCTGAGAACCATTGGGAACTAAACCTGTGTCCTTTGCAAGAACAGCAAATACTTTTAAATCCTGAGCCATCTTGAGCCATCACTCCTACCCCACTGATATTTTTTATGTTTCCAAAAATGATTTTTTTAAACATAGGGATAACTGAACTTGTCTTTAAAAAAAAAAATCATGTGTATGAGTGTTTTGCCTGTGTGTATGTAAGTGCAACTGTGTCATGCAAGGCCCACAGAAGCAAGAAGAGGGTGTTGGATCCCTGGGAACCAGAGTTAAGGATACCTACCATGTGGGTGCTGGGAACCCAAGAAACCTAGGTTCCAGCCCCAAACACCACTCTTGAAACAATTACTTCAACTGAAAACTAGAATGGAAGTGAAGCAAATGCTACAGAAAACAAGGTTGGTGAGGGCATAAGAGGTTAGCTTAGCAACCCTCGAGGGATACAATAAGTTGAGCTGGGCCATGACAGAGGACAACTGGTAAGAGATAGGGTGTGAATGAAGACAAAACTCTATCACAACATCCCGAAATAATTTTTTGTTTTGGGGTTTTGAGTGTGTGGGTGGGTGGGTGGGTGTGTTGTGTGTTCTTGTTAGTGTGTGCATGTGTGCCTGAAAATGCATGTAGATGTGGAGGCCTGAGATTGACATTAAATGTCTTTCCTAGATAGCTTTAGATCTTTACATTTTAATAGGGTCTCTGACTGAAACTGTAGCTCACCAATTCAAGCAAAGCTGGCTGGCCAATGAACTTTATAGCTGGCTATCTTCAGCTGAGGTTACAAGAGCACATTTCTACCCTATCTCTTTTAATATTTTATTTATTATTTTTATTTTATGTGAATGAGTGTATTGCTTGCATATGTAAGTGCACTCATATCATGCAATGCCATGAAAGTCAGGAGTCGGGTTCCCCTAGAACTAGAGTTAAGGATGGTTGTTAGTCACCATGCGTGTGCTGGGAATGGAACCCAGATGCAAGAGCAGCTGGAGACTGCTCTTAACCACTGAGCCATCTCTCCAGTCCCTCTTTAGTCTTTTTTGAGATACGGTCTCCCTGTAGCCCCAACAGGCCTGGAATTCACCATGTAGACCAGGCTGGCCTCCATCTCACAAAGATTTGCTGGCCTCTGCCTCCCAAACTCTGGGATTAAAGGTGTGTGCCACCACACCCAGCTCACACCCACAGCTTTTTACATGGGTTCTGGGGATCCAAAGTCAGACTCTCAAGCCTTCATGGCAGATTCTTTACCTACTGAGCCCTTTCCCAGCTACCAATTAATTTTGAAACCACTTTTCCACTTCAGAATCAGAAACTCTCATCACAAATACAAAAAGCCAGGTAGAATTCTGAGGGGATGTTAGTGAAATTGCCTCTGCTTGGCAGAGGCAAGGCTGATGCCTTTATTATCTGTCTAACTGTATAGAAACCGTTCTCCATGGCAGGAACTTCTTGTTACACTCTTCAACTATGGCTGTGAACAGAAGCAGAACAGCATTCAGAGGCCCTTCCTTCTACAAGGCCAAGGTGTGTGCTAAGAAGGACCTCTAGTGAGAACAAGGCAAGTAGGCAGAAGAAACTTGAATCACTAAGAAAGTCAACCTATCACAGTTCACTTACTTTGGACTTTTACCCTAAAGTGAATGCTCTTAGCAACCTATCCACATATATATTCAGCCTATGACAAAGAAAGTTGAGTGAGAACTATTATAAATCTCCCAAACCTAGTCTACAGCTGGTACTTTGTAATATTGGGTTCATACAATGTTTGTGTCTTTGGCAGTATATCATGGCAGTAGCACATGCTAGAGCAGAAGCATTTGCCTTATGACCAGTAAGCAAAAGAGAGAAGAAGAAGGGATCATGGTTCCATTATTCCCTTCATAGGCATGCCACCAAAGCTGAACAGGGACACAGGGAGAGGCAATTGAAGTACCCCTTCAATAGGTCTACCTAAAAGACTCCCAAATTGCATCTTATCTTGGGAGGGGGTGTGGGAAGCAGGCGCGGTTGAGCCAGCCAAGATGGCGCCCTGGCTGGCGGCCAAGCCTTGTGACCCGCAGTTGTTTGCTCCAACTCGCGCAAGTGCTTTAAGCCTGATCACGCGCAGCCTGCCTGACAAGAGACATCACGGAGCATGATTTTATTGCATGGCCCAATGAGATGATGCTCTGCCTGCATGCTAGTCCCATGTTCACGCCTGACTGGCTCCTGGTTATGACCTGACTGTGGGAGGGATCTACTGAGGATATATATTGGGGGATGATGAGGAATAAAGGGGAAGAAAAAGTGAAGTGAACCTTATCTTGGCGTCCGTGTTGTCCTTTCCTCGGCTCTGCTGGTCAGAGTCATGGCTTGCGGCAAGTGGTGGCCCGTACGGGGAAATCGCTCTTTCAGACAGAGAACGAAGGGTAAGGTCCGCAGGTAAGCGGTGGGGGGCGGGGACCAGCTGCGCGCTGGCACCATGTTCCTGGCCACTCTGTACTTTGCGCTACCACTCTTGGATTTGCTCCTGTCTGCCGAAGTGAGTGGCAGGGATGCCTTGACTGCGTGAAAGCCAGCGATCGCTTGAAAGACTTAGAATTGGAGGAAGCTATTATGGAGGAGGATGATTTGGCAAGTCTCTTTTCACAATTAAGTGCATCCCAGGGGGACCACTGTAGCAATTTTAGAAGGTTAAAGGCACCAGAGCCATCAGCCCCTCCCTGGGTCCCACCTCCTGATTACGAGCTGCCTCGTAAGGGGCCGGAAGGGCAGAGTCAGCACGCTAGAGTGTGGACCCTGATAGAGAATCAGGTGGGAGCTTTCCCTGTACTTCAGGACAATAACAATCAAAGAATCCATGAGCAATTAGATTGAAAGGTGATTCAGTGCCTGAAAGAGTCAGTGGCCACTTATGGCATCCAAGCAGCCTATACATTGACGCAAGTGGAGGCTCTCCAGCGTTTTTGTATGACTCCTTTTGATTGGCAGAATCTCTGCTGAGCTGTTTTGTCTGGAGGGGAATATTTAAATTGGAAGGCCGCATACTTAGAGTATTGTGTGGAGCAGGCAGCTGTGAACGCGAGGAATGGGCAACCTGCTTGGAGTGTGGACATGCTCATGGGCCAAGGGCAGTTTGTTAATAATCAGACTGGATATCCTGTTCAAGTGTATAACCAGATTAATGACTGTGCATTAAAAGCTTGGAAAATGTTATCTGGCACAGGGAATTTAGGAGCCAGCCTATCTAAAGTCATACAGGGAAATAATGAATCATTCGCAGACTTCCTAGCTAGATTAGTAGAGACTGCTGGAAGGATATTTCCAAATGTAGATTCTGCTATGCCATTGATTAAGCAATTGGCCTATGAGCAGGCTAACAAGCCATGTCGAGATGCTATCAGGCCTTACAGGAGCAAGACCCTGGATGTATGGATCAAAGTTTGCAGGGATATAAATGAAAGCTTTATACAAGGTCAGGCCTTGGCTGCAGCCATTATGGCAGGATTCCAAGGGTGCCCTCCAGGAAATTTACCGATAGGAGGACCCCGTAGAGGAATATCAGAAGGATGTTTTGCTTGTGGCCAAAAGGGACATTTTAAGTGAGATTGTCCCACCTGCGGACCATTGGGGGGGGCGCAAGGGGATCCTCGAAGCGCTCCCCCGACTACTCACCGCCCTAATCTATGCCCACGCTGCAGAAAAGGCAACCATTGGGTGGGTGATTGTTGGTCTGTTTGGGACATAGAGGGACAGCCCTTGGGACCCAATCAATCTGGTGCTAGGCCCGGCCAGTGGGGCCCTCGGCCTCAGGGCCCACAAATATATGGGGCTCTCCAACTGACTCCCACCGATTGGCCCAACCTGCAACAAATTCCAAGAACACCGCAGCCGATTCGACCCCTAGAAAGGCAACCCCAGGGAGCACAGGACTGGACCTCTGTGCCACCTCCAGACTCATACTAACCCCTGAGATGGGAGTCCAGACTATCCCATCAGATTTTCACAGACCTCTCCCTGAGCGGACTGTAGGACTCTTGTTAGGGTGCAGTTCAACCACCCTACGAGGATTAGTTGTTCACCCAGGAGTGATAGACACAGACTATGAGGGTGAGATTCGAATAATGGTTTCCTCGCCTCG